ACATACATACATGATTACCTACACCTTCATATACAGCATTATACACACAGACACATGCATGTATACAAATATATAGACAAACAAACATCAATTATACAAATTCACGAATCCATGAACACATCGAATCCGCGGTGCTGGCCTGTTTGAATATTCGAGCGTTGATTGATCCAACCGTCTAAAATATTTCTGTTGAGTGACTAGACGAGAGATGCCAGTACAATAGGATCATTCAATTAATTATATTGTCAGACTTTCTCATTTTATTTGCATTATGAGAATAAATTTATTGAACTTGTATATGATTTCTGAACTATAGTCATTTCGCAGATGGCTGACGACACGTTTAAAATGAATATTTTCAAGCAGTGGTTTGTACATGAAGATAAAGTGTGAATGTTCTAACATATTGCAACATATAACTCCATGTTTATTAATTCATCATTTACATGCACTGAAGAACATACATACACACTCACCAACAAATAAAACATCTTATCTTTATTGTTATTTCGTCATAGTAGTAATATGGATGCATAAGTACACACATGAATTCACTGTGGATGTATGCATGTATATGCACATATACGTGTATGTATATATGTATTGTATACTTGTACATACTTGCTCGAATGCATTGTGCACACAGCTGAACAAGCGTACAAAATACCGCGTGAGTTCGTATGCGCGCAGCATGTAAGCACGGAGACATTCGGAAAATGAAAACACAGGAATATGAAGAAGAAAAAATTATTTACTACGTTCGAAATTTTTGACTCGCAACTCTGATGGAAGGATTTCAAATTTCAATAAAATCGATTTCATATACATGCGTTGTTGTTCTTATTGTTGTTTGTATTTAATAATGCCATGTTGCGCGTTAGGAATGGATTTCCGTATAAATGTTATATATATGTATATATATATATATATATATACAGAGTTAGTTAACTAAATTAAAAAGGTTGTTCCATCATTTTTGCTCATTTAATTTTTTTATTTTAGAGTAAACAACGTTTAATTTTTGCTAAAAAATTATTAGATAAAACCCGTAGAAAAAAAATTATTGAACTGTTTTAATTTAATGTATTGCTTGGGTTATTTGCAAATTGATGCTAAACGTTAATGTCTGTAAATGTCATCCGTTGAAAAAAAATTTGTTAAACAAAACCTGAAATAATTTTTTAACGACTAAAATAAAAATGTGTGAAAACATTCAACGTGATAACGCTACCAACCCCCCATCAACAAGCAACGACACGAGTCTGAAAACTGTCGTTGAAAAATGTTTAACAGAGAAGATTGAGCAAAAAATTAGTGCCAAACGGGATTCCTTCCTGACTCCAAACAACCTGACGACCGTTCCGTGCGTGTCGACGGAGTCACTGATGAAGAGGACAATGTCATTCCTCAAGAGAAGATGCTCGATCAGAAATTTAGATTCCCAAAAAAAATCTGACGGTGCAGCGGATGAGAACTGCGAGAAGGAAGAAAGAACACCACTAATGTTTGATTTTTTGAACGATCAATTGCCTTTGAAAGAAGCATCCAACATCAAGCTTCCCCAGTATATCAGCATGAACCCTGAAAACATTCCTGATCCGGAGACAATCATTAGGTACAAATTAAACTCAAAAAGAGTTATACTGAACGTTGGTGGGGTTAAACACGAGGCCATGTGGCGAACCCTGGATCGACTGCCTCACACGCGGTTGGGTCGTCTTCGATACTGCAACACCCACGAGTCCATAATGGAAATATGTGACGATTACAGCTTATCGAATATGGAGTTTTATTTTGATCGACATCCACGCACGTTTGCATCTATTTTAAATTTTTACCGAACTGGTCATCTGCATTTGGTTGAAGAAATGTGCGTTTTATCATTTGGTGATGATTTGCAATATTGGGGAGTTGATGAATTATACTTGGAGTCTTGTTGCCAACATCAATATCATCAGAGAAAAGATGGAGTGTTTGAAGAGATGAAAAAAGAAGCCGAAACTATGCAAGTAAGAATAGAAGAGGATTTCGGAAACTGGCCATGTTCCGAATGGCGTAAAAAGTTATGGGATTTACTTGAAAAACCACAATCTTCGATGGGAGCTCGAGTTAGTAGTTTTTTGCAAAAAAGTTCAACTTTCTTTGTTAATTTTTCTTTTCATTTAATTAACAGATATTTGCCATTATATCTATCTTTTTTGTCATCGCATCCACCATCGGGTTAACGCTGAACACAATGCCTTCTTTACAACACCATGATGAGTTTAACGAAACTGCAGAGAACGAAGTTTTGGCTGGAGTTGAAGCGTCGTGCATCGGTTGGTTCACCCTAGAATACGTTTTACGATTTTGGGCCTCCCCTGACAAATGGAAATTTTTTAAAGGTGCCCTTAATTTTATTGACTTGCTGGCCATACTGCCGTATTATATTTCTCTTGGCTTCGATAAACATAGCGATAGCACAGAACAATTTCAAAATGTACGTCGTGTCGTACAACTCTTCCGTATAATGAGAATTTTGAGAATTCTTAAACTAGCTCGACACTCAACTGGTTTGCAATCTCTAGGTTATACGCTACAACGCAGCTATAAAGAGCTAGGACTACTTATGATGTTTTTAGCGTTAGGCATTTTAGTTTTTTCCAGCTTGGCCTATTTTGCCGAAAAAGATGAAAATCCAGCATTTGCCAGCATTCCAGAAACTTTTTGGTGGACCGTAATAACAATGACAACTGTCGGGTTAGTGACGATAAAAATGTTTAGTTTTTCAGAAAATTATTATACAAATATTGTTTTATTTATTTTATTTTTAATAAATTAATTTTCATATCAAACAAATAGGTTCTACTCAAAAAAAATCATAATAAATAGAACATGTAACTTAAATGTCATTAATTTTAGCTACGGAGACGTATTCCCTCGAACCTTCTGGGGTAAGGTTGTAGGTGCCATCTGTTGCGTTTGCGGAGTGTTAGTTGTTGCGCTGCCCATTCCTATCATTGTGAACAACTTTGCTGAATTTTACAAAGATCAAGTCAGACGAGAAGAAGCTCTCAAAAGAAGGAAGGCCCTAGAACTAATCGAGAGAGAAAATTCAGAACCTGCCTCTCCCACACAGAGCGAACGTGAATTTACGTCCATGGCGCAAAAACGAACTCTTTGCGTCAATCAAATACCAGTCTCAACTGAATCCAACGTTTATGAAAAAATGGTGAAGAGTACGTCTTCACTCTTGCGTATTGAAACCGTCGAGATAATGCCTGAAAATTTGACAGCCCAATACAAAATTGAAATGACGCCCAAAAAAGTTGTCCGAAGAACGAACAAAAAATTAAATTCTACAGGCACAACGACAAGCTTGACAAACAATAATGCTACCAAATATGTGTCTTCCAATAACCAGGTCAGATATATTTTTTTTAAATAATTGAATGACGACATAACATACATTGGGAAGTTTCATAAATTTTATAAATTTCATTTCTTCAGACTTTCAAGAATATAAAACACGACACAAAGCGATTTTGGAAAAGTGTAACGCAACTAATTTACGGTTGGTTTATGATCATTTTACTATGTAAAACTTTCATAAAAATTATAAATTTTTCAATGAAGGCTCCAAAAGTAAAATAGACCTTAGTAACTGGAACAGAAAAAGTTTTACTTCGCTGTTGAATCAAGTCGATTGGAATGACAAAAACAGAACAAACGAATCTGGTAGAAAACGTACGACAAGCTCTACTAAAGACACAAAAAATATTGAAGAATTGCAGGGTCTACTTTCCCCAAAATTTGATCAGAACCTGTTAAACCAAAATCAGAACATAACACCGTTACAAGCAACAAGCGGGCTAAAACAAACGTCAATAATCATCGAGTCCGCAGATCTTCCGAACGTAGACAATGAAATAAATGGAACTCTAACGACAAACCACTCGTGTGAGTTACTTTCAAAACAAGACAATCAACAGATACTGTCTTTTTCATGCTTATCAAAGCTTATGCCCGGTGGCAACAAATCAACGGCCTTATTAACCATGCGATCCACGTACGTAGCCGTCGACAACAAATCAGATAACAATCCATTCAATAGATCAGCCAGTGATGAACCGCAGACAAATACAAATAAAAATGACGAAGCATTTGCGAAGGCCAAGCGTGATGTATTTGCAGTTGCATCCGAGAGTAGGATATTTAAAAATAAAAAAGCACCAGCGCGATCCTCGAAACAATTTCCATTAGTTAAACAGCCCCGACTGAAGGCCGCCACGATGAGGCCGGCCTTTCTAAAATTATCTGAACGACCGTCAGGTTTCAAGAGGAGGGTTGAATATCCCAGGGCCAATTATCCCTCTTCTGGGACGGAAGACTCTTCTGATAATAACAATCTCAGTTTTATGAACGACGAAATGTTCACCCTCGATGGTTCTGATAATTTATATTCCACCGACACTAACGTCATACAAGACGAAATGGGCAACCATGTTGTGGGCACATCAATTAATGAAATAAAACTGAAACGCTCAAGATTACGATTTCCAACTTCGTCCATAACGTTCATAGATGATTAGGTGATGTTTCCGTCTTTATTCCATCGTTTTGTTATATTTGTATTTGTGCATGACAAGTAAATTACACATTTCTTTTGTACATAAATTATTTTTTCCAAATCAGTATTGTAAAAACTTGAGGACCGCTATAATTTTCAACATTTTCGCGATAAAGATTTCATGCGTATTGCAAAACTAAGTGATGTGGAGTATATAGCTTAACATGTGATATTATATCGAACAGATTTCTTAATGTCGAATCCATTTTGCCAAAACTATAAGACCAATAAAGATTTGGTTACTCTTCCTGAGACTTACAGGTTTTGAAAAATCTGCTAAATAAATAATTAATTGAATAAATTGTTTTAGACCGTTAGCGTGTAACTGAGCGGATAGGTTAGTCGCTTATAAGGTTACGTTTCTAGCTATAAAATGTTACGTTTCCAAAAAATTGCCTTCCTAAATATTTCAATGGGTCTATGTCATAGTTTTAGCTGTATACTATCTAGTTATGATTAGCTGTTTAAACTGTACTTTTGATATTTTCAAGCAGATAAATTAACATGAAAAAAGTAAAACAGTGATTTTTTAATACAATTATTGGCTTAATTTTGACAAAAAAATAAAAAATAATTACGATCGTTTCAAAGTTCTTTAATGATATAATCCGGTTTCAAATGTACATCCATAAATGGTGGGCAAGTAATATCTCGAACTAAGACAACCAATTTGACTGAAAAATTAAAATTTATATTTATTATTTATTGCCAAGTAAATAAAATAGACACTCAATATTTTAAACTTGCTGACAGGGTTCATCAGAACATTCTTGACAGTCAATTTCTTTTATTCTGGATATCATCAATTGATCAAGTAACACCCGCCCTTGAGATATTTTAGCAATTCCGTCGAACTCTTCATAATTAGATCATTTTCAAATTTAGCATTAGCAATCTATATTGAAAAGAGAAAATGTATCACCAACCGGTGTAGAAAACTTTTTTTGGTATTTTTTCTTTGGCTGTTGAACAACTTTCCGACAAAGTATTAGATTCTTTACTAATTTTTTTCCTTTCTTCATTTTTCTCTGCTGAATCATCCTCGTCATCCTCAATTGCGATTGTGCTTTCCATCTTTTCCAAATCTTCAGAATTTGCTTCGGACTCGTGAGTCAATTCATTGAACCTAAAACTTCCAACAGATTCATCATTCTTTTCTCCTACTACGTTGTCATCAAGTGCTATATCTATTGTACCTCTTAATAAATGCATCTTCTCCATTTTGATACCTCTAAAGAAACCAAATAGAACATTTGAATTACATGTTAATAGTTCAGTAGCGTAAAGAACTTAAAATAGGAAGGCTTAATTCATCATGTTCAGCTTTTTATCATTTGTGCGTGCGGTAATTTTGTCTACTAAAAGCAGTGAATGAAATAAATTAGTAGAGCGTGGCCTGCCGGTGACATGCCAAATGCTAATTCACGAAAAAGCTTTTATTTCAAAATATGATTCGAACAAGACAGTGCATAACGGCAATACAACAGGAATCGGCTATTAATAAAATTATAGCTCAGTGGCAAAGAAAACCGTTTGGAGAAAAATTCTTTTCATGCTCATGTCAAACTTTTTATAAATTTGAACAAATAATTTACTAAAACCACGCCACAGTAACCAATGAAGCAAATTCTTACAATTGTACTAGAGCAAAGAGCTGAGATTCCGACAGGTCATTTTTAATAGTCGAGATGTGGATCACTTTTTTAGATTTATGTGGTTTTATGTTTTCTGATTTTATACTACCTGACGTACATGAATTATTTTCGTCCTCATCATTAACACACATTTCCTCAGTTTGGCTGTGGCTGTCTTGCTTTGTAATTCCCACCATAATCTCTATTTCTCGCCCATCGTCTTATAATTCAATTTATATGCATTTTCAATTTCTCACATTACAGATTTTTAATAAAAACTTGCTAAAAAATTGATTTTTATAACCAACCTAAATCGCAAACTTTTTTATTTTCATCCAGACATTCAACAATAATTGAGAACTCTGTATTAAAATTTAAACTATTATTTTCAGAAGCTAAAACGAGGTGAAGCTTGGTAGGTTGCCAGTTTGGCTTATCATTGGTCCACAGTCCCTCATATTTGCAGCCGGAAATGTGGCAGTAGACTCCAATGCCCTGTCTCACACCATGTCTCCATTGACCCTAGTAAACATTAAACTTCGAATCATCATTAGTTACTTTATAACAGACTATAGAAAAATCAGATATCAGCCAGAGAGATTCAACATGAATTTATAAAAAATAAAATCATTAGGTAGCTGGAAAAAAATAAGTAACTTGAATGTAAACCTCATAATGTGAGCCATCAGCATATGTTCTCAATCCATGTCCATGTTGTAAACCCATGATCCAATGCCCAATGTATTTAGAGCCATCTCTAAGTTTATAAAACAGATTTAAATAAAATTAATAAATGAAGTAGTAAAAAATGTGGGAATAAAATTATTAACTTGAATATTTGGGTTCCCTCTCCATGTTTCAAATGATTGTGGTAGAAACCTGAATATACTTCTCCTGAAGGATATTCATGCTTCCCATAACCTTTTTGTTTTTATATGTAAAGCATAATTTTATAATTTGAGCATAACAAACACCAGCATAGCCAGAAATTTGATTTAGGGCTTTTAAGTTTTACAAAAACTAATCATCTTTTTTGCTTATTTATATATAATGTAGACTGTAGATGTATAACAAAAACAAAATATGGGCATCAATTATCTAAAAATTAAAATGATTTTTTTGTGGAGACCTGCAGCCATCAAAGCTCCATCTAGAGCTAGACTATTCCCTGAAGACAATATTACAAAATATTACAAGCAAAAGAAACCAGCTAACCCTGCCTTTTATTGTCGACCCACTGTCCATCGTAGACCGACTCATCCTCATATCTCATCAAACCTGTCCCACACTTCTCCCCCATGTGAAACATGCCAGAGTATTGGCAGCCCGTAGTTGCGTCGTAAGAAACGCCGCGACCAACTATCTCGTCGTTAACAAAATCTCCTTCGTAGTAACTTCCGTCATTCATTGTTAACTTACCGTGCCCTTTAAATTAGAGTTATAAAAGTTAAACAATATTGTTAGTTTTTAATAAAAAGATTTTAGAAAAGAAATGACGCGACCGTGTTTCTTGCCGTCCATCCAATCGCCTTCGTATTTGAAAAATTTGTTGGAGAATGTGTAGCGCCCATAACCTTAAGAATATAGATATTTTTTTTATTTATTGTTAATTTTTTTTATGAATATTTAATTTCTAAGTTCAGTCACCATCTCGTTGAAGATTGATAACTCTGCCATCATAAGAATTTGGAAAAACCGCCATAGCGTCTTAAAATTACTATGGCAACTAAATGTGGAAGAAAAAATGGTCACGGTAGAAGTGAGAAAAGAATTAAATCTTTAAAACCTATTTTTGTAATATTTTGTCTATTAAATTAAACATCTTGATAATAATAACAATATAAAAAAAAATATTTTCAATCATATAAATATTAATTTTTTGCACATTTGTGGTTTTTACAAAAAGAAAAATGTTTCAAACTATATTCACGTAGAACGTTAAAACGAAATTTATTTTTAAAGTATAAACAAATTAAAAGTGGAATTAGGTCACGTGCATGCAAATGAAACCCGCCATTGGTTCAATTTATACAGACCGCTTAAATTTCAGCCAATGATATTGAAGCAATGTTTCGCTTGCCTGCCAAGCCTTACTAATGCTTTGTAACAGGTTCCTATCTATCTCTTCTGTTTCCTTATTATACGTACTTGTGAGGCGTTCCTTACATACCGTTCCATTTCTCATCTAAATTATCTTTTTAATTTGTTCGAACAAAGCGAAATTAAAATCAAGTAAGTTTCGTTGTTTTTTTCATCGATTTTATTATAATTTTGGTTCGCCTACTCCGCATTAAATTAGATTATTTTCGTGCGCGCGCCTATAATACTCTCAAGTAGCAATGGTGGCAATTTAACAACTGAATATCTAAAAAAATTATTTAACTGTTTTTTTACTGATTTAAATTACAAAGTTAGTTTAAATCGATTTGTTTATCATTTAGACATGCCGAAAGAAAGCAAGCTTAGAGGCAAGATGTCGTCTTATGCTTTTTTTGTTCAGACATGTAGAGAAGAGCACAAGAAAAAACACCCTGGAGAGCAAGTAGTGTTTGCTGAATTCTCTAAAAAATGTTCGGAAAAATGGAAGGTTTGTGAAAACTATTATTTTAATTTATTTTAAATAGGCCATTGTCAAATAAATTTGGCCAAATCTCAGAATAGCTATTATTTTCGTAATCAAAATCTAACTTAAAAGTCTAAAGCTCTAAAGTAAAGTCTAAATTAAAATTCTCTAACAACCTAACCAAAGTCTGCTTGTCTGTTACTTTACTTTACATGACTGATAAGTCTGGTCTTCAACATCAGTTACGTTTCATATTGAAATATCCTATAAATAAAATACATTTACTCTTCTATATTATGTGTCATATGTAAATTATATCGGATATATAGATCATATTAATAAGTAAATTTGAAGTTTTACATTCATAAAATCATTGTTATATTAATTAGATCACTAAAATTTATTTGATTTAATCTAATCAGGCGATGAATGCTAAAGAAAAGAAAAGATTTGAAGACATGGCGGAAAAAGACAAGGCCAGGTTCGACAAAGAATCAGCTGCAGGAGGCGGTGGTGGCCGAGGAGGAAGAGGTGGCAAGAGAAAGAAGACCAAAGATCCTAATGCTCCTAAACGTTCACTGTGAGTTTTATTTCATTCATTTCTTTGTTACCATTCAGTGAGACTTCAGTATTAATAAGCTTGGCTTCATCATTTTCTACGTAGCTAACATATTACATAATTTCATTAATTTTTCATTCTATCCAGATCAGGGTTTTTCTTTTTCTGCAACGAAGAACGATCAAAAGTAAAAGCTCAATTCCCAGGTTATGGTGTTGGAGATATTGCTAAAGAATTAGGCAAGAGATGGGAAGTTTGTCCTAACAAGCAAAAATTTGAAGCCATGGCAGCCAAAGATAAACTGAGATATGAACAAGTATGTTATACTTTTTTTTCTATACTTTCAATATTGTGAAATAAAATTTTCTGCATTTAAAGATAATTGTTTTAGGAAATGTAGCATCATTTAAGAGTTTTTTTAATGTTCCAATATTTTATGTCATGTTTTCAGGAAATGGCAGCCTACAAATCAAGTGGAGGTGCTGCAAGTGGTGCTTCATCTGCTAAGAAAGCTAAAGCTCCCAGAAAAGCAAGCAAAAAGAAGGATGAAGACGAAGATGATGAGGAAGATAACGAAGAAGACGAGGATGAAGAAGATGATGATGAAGATGGTGATGAATAATAATTAGATTACTATTTTGACTGAGAGATCTACTACTCAACATGTTTATGTAATTTAAAGTTGTGAATGTGGTTGAATTAAGTTGAATGAATTGAGGTATGTAAATGATAACATTTTATCTAATTCACAGTTCCTCACTATGTTGAATATGTCTACACAATTTTTATCTAAGCTGTATATTTGTTATGACTGTCACAACAATACTGACTATTTTAATTTGCCAGCCATTTTATTGTTTGTTTTGTTTTTTTTTATTGAACAAAAAAAATAAATCTTTGAAATGTTTTCTAAACGGAATTTTATATGAATTAATTGATGTCAAATGTTGGTTAGATAAGTATTAGCTTTCTTTGTAAACTATGGACAGTTTCTTTATTGTCTGCTCAAGGATTTCATTACCTCCAAGATTTTTTGTCTGGTCCAGGATTCTGAAATGTTGATATACCTATATTGTAATGCGTCGTGTATTTGTGGAAAAAAAATTACATACTCATTTTCCAAATCTTCCAGCTTACGTTTAGTGTATTGGAATGAGCCAACGGACTCCAGATAATCTATGCAATACTTCTTGACATGAATTTGATGAGATTTCTGCCTGAGAATGCGTTTTTCTTGTTAAGTAAATAAATTCTACATGCCATTGTATTGAATGTTGTAAAGGTTATGTACAAGGCTGATTAATAAAATACAGTTTCTATCTGCGTTGATTCATTTAAATTTAATAGAATGATTGAAGTGCACTTGTAACATATAATAGGATATTCATTAATTGGTCGTTTTCTGGATGACTTCTGATGCCATGGATGATTGGGAATGAGAATTTTCCCTCTGTCAGATCTTCTGCATAACCTTTGTTAGATGTTAGCTGTTAAAATTTTTAAAATCAATTTAACAGGTTGAATTGAGTTTACTGGTTGAATTAATACAAGGTGAATATACAGCTAAAGCCATACTTCTGTAGATTTGAGATTAGCGTAATCATCCCTGATTTGAAAGTATAATCCTAAGTTGTCACACAATGGCTTGAAATCACTTAAAAATAATATAAAGCTATGTATGGTCTGAAGCTGTGTAGAGTGTAGTATAGTATAATGTATAGATTATAAAAGCTGGTACATCTCAGCATGTGAGATAGTTTTTGTAATTTAGCAATAATTGCAATTGAAAAACCTTTTGTTACTACTAAATAGTTGCATTAACTTTACTGCCAAGCCGAACAATCCTCCTGTCTCTGAGAAATTCAAAAGTAGAACTGAATAGATATCTATGAATAACATTTTCCAGTAGTTGAAAGAATTGCTTGGAAATTTAAATTATCATCAGTTAACACTTTTAATTAGTAAGAAAACCATTAAATTACACAGTTTCTGTAAATTTAATTCTTAGTTTTTTGTTTATAAAAGAAAAAAACACTAACTTCTCTTGACCATTTTGATGTACTCATCTTCTGTCGGGCAGTTGTTAGTGTCCCTCCAATAAATGTCCATGCCCTGTCCCCTATGAAGCTCCAGCAACTGTTCTTGATTAAACATTTATTTTAAAATAATGTCTTTAAGCAGGTTTTGTTTAATTTTTAATGTTTTACAAACATTCTCTTGCAATTCAAATGTAATTAGTGTCTTGTTTGTCAAAATGAATGGCAAATTATATTGACATATTAACCAGTGAAAACTTTAGTAACTTCAGGATGATCAAGAGAAATGGCTTTTTGCAAACCCAGAAAGTAGACATAGTTGGCTGTGTTGATGGTTTGAGGGATTCCATAAATATGGTGAGCCACTTTGAAAGTTTCAAAAAATATTAAAAGAAGGTAATGTAAAATTTAAAATCAATAAAGTTTAATTCAATCAACCTTTAACATAATTTAGTGTTAAATTATAAACAAAATCACTGATAATAATTATCAAATGACCAGAAAAAAACACAATATACAAAATCACCTGGAATACCCCTTCTGAGGTTTGAATTGTCTTCAATATCATCAATTCTGAAATTGTATTAAAGAAGACAAGTTATATAAAATTAAAAAATACAGCAGCATTATTGTTTAAGAAAAAAACACTTACAGTAGGCTGGCATTGTGAAGCATTTGAGTAATGTCAATTATAATTTTTAGCTTGTCATCTGGAATTTTCAACCAGGCATTGAATGCCTAAAAATTTTGTGAAAAAAAACTTAAATTATGATAGGATTTTGTTGAAGTAGGGAAAAAATAATAAAATGTAACAAAAATTTATAATTTATAATAAAACTTTCATAGCTCAGTTGATCATGCTAACATTAGATAGTTGACTTCTTATTTCTTTTCCAGCTACTTGTAAAAGATAACTGTATGGTCCCAACAATACCTTTGTAATTTTTAAATAATTTTATTTATTACTTTTTAAATTTGAATAAGAGAGGATTCTATATAAAGATTAAAACTTAATTTAAAATATTAAATTATATTACTAATACAGTATTACACTTTATTTTATTTAAATATCCTATTTATAATTTATATTTATAGATAGTCTTATTAATTACATTAAAAAAATTTGTTAAAGAAATTTTTGTAAAAATTAAAAAAATTTTTTTACTTTATCAATTTCATGGTTTAATTTTTGAAGTATTATAATTATTATTTATATTATTGATTTATTTAAATTTAACAAACCAACCACCTGTTCTTCTGGTATTTTAATTGTTTTTTCCGTACGTTTTTCCATTGAAAATATTTTATTTAAACGATCCAAAAATATGATGAAAATATGATGAATAAAAAATTTAATAATAATAATATATATTATAAAAATTAAATGAAACAAAAGACAGACTACAAAACGAACGACCGATAATTGCTTAACTAAAAGTGAACATGTAACAACGACACAAGTCATAACCATATTATCAGTTCTAGGGTATAGAATTAAAAACTCAGTGGCTACCCAACATAGGCCCAATCCTTATAAATAGAATATATATATAATATAAATAATATATAGAATATTATATATAAATATATATATATATATAATCTAATTCATATCTGTGGAATATTCTATATAACCAGAATATCTATCTATATAATAGATGCGGTCACCTGAATGCTTGACTTGATGGATCTAATCATAACATGCTTCTTGATGCTGAAATTGAAAATTTCTGTAGACGACGCGACAAAAATGTTTAAGCAACATCACTCTAAAAATCATTTAAACCTGGCAGACCAAGAGGAACATTTCATTTTATTATGACTAAACAGTGCAGATGCAGATCAACTCTGAAAATAACGAGACGGTTTAAGCTAAAAAAATATAAATTTGTACATTATTAAAATTGAAACAAACAATAAATTTATCGTAGAGCGTACAAACTAATATAAATAATATAGAAATAACTTTATCACAACAGTTGTATATTGTTGTCCCAAATTTTCAAGCTACTCCAAGCGCTTGAAAAATCTTTTAGACACTATGTTATCCACGATGGCGGTCTGAAAATTCAAAATATATTTTACCATGAAAATAGTTGCAATCATGCATGTACAGTATTTAAAATATAGGGTTTCAATATAACTATAGATAAAGTTATTAAACACGTCAACAAAGTTGTAAATGATGCAGCTGAAGCAAATGTAAAATTGGTAACAAAGTCATTCAGCAAACGTCTTATCAGAGCAAAAGTAAGTTTTCCATATGGAAGGTGAGATTAAGTCATAAAATGAATTAATTACAAGTGAGTAGAAATTACTACAAAGAAGCACGCATATGACGGATGCAGGTGCGACAGCCGTGTGACCGAGTGAACCTATGCAATGTTATCATAAACGGAAAACGCATCATAAACATAAAGAAAGCAAACTTGTCACATTCTCATTATTTATATTTATATAATTAATTGAATAAAACATTTTACCAGAACGAGTTCATCATCGACCATTTCTCTGATCATCGTCTGATCTTTGGCCTCACCTGGATTCTTTGGACGATAATCCATCACCAGCTTATCCCCCTCCCATCTGGGCATTATCTTGATGTTAAATCTCATTTTTAAAAAATTATCATCTCAGCATAAGATTTTAGTTAAACAGTCTAAACAAAGAGATAATTGAATAATTTTTTGAAAATACCTTCATGACGACTCCATTGGGCTGCCTTTCTTCGAATTCAGTGCCAACAGTGAACTTGACGTCGAAGGTGTGCATCAAACTTACCAGTTTCGAGCTGAACTCGTCTCCATTTTGCGTTATCTCTAAAGTTGGATATGATTTGGAAGCGAGTTTTCGGACCAGCCAAGGTACTCCTAAGGTTTTGGCAAAAGAAAATTTTATGAAAACCGGAGTAAATCTTAAGAATCGTCACTTGAAAGGATGGTTCGTTCATCTCTCCGCTATTTTCATTCGTCACAAATGATATTTCCAGCATTTTATTTAAAAATCTCAGCACAATGTACCGATTTCCTTTCTTACCGTTTGCAGCTAAATATTCGTCCATATTTTCTTTCCGAACCAGTTGATATTTCCCGGCATAATTGATTTTTGACGACATGGTAGTGAGCAGTTTGTGATTCAATCTCAACGAAACATCAAAACAACACAATCATTTTAAACTTTCACATGAACTCGAACGTAACGCACACCATAATAAGAAGCGAACATTGTACACTACACACATATGCATGTTTTCACTTCATTATAATGAATGGATGAATGTCTGCCGTGAGTGCATATGTGGTTGTATGTATGTGTAATGCGTGTTATATAACAGATCGGTCCTGTTTAATTTCTGATTCGAAAGCTTCTTTAGAGAGTCATCTGTAACGAGGCAACCGGCAAACAATAGAAAAGTAGGAACACGAACACATGTGCATTTAGATTCCGCATACATCTATCGTTTGAAAATTTTCTTTAATTCAGACACATAAACATAGAATTGATATTAAACACATTTGAACATTTCTGAATAGCTCAGTCAATTTAAATATAAAATGTTAAATATAGCATCAATACTAGTTTCTGAACAGTTTTCAAAATTAAAAGTATGAAAAATAAACGAACGAACACAATCAGAGAAACATGCTTGGGTCACCAAAAAGAAATATCAGACAAAATGAGTACGCTCGCTTCATTGTTGTCATTTGTGTTTAAATAACAAAATAAAAATAAAACATAAAAAACTAAAACGTAAAATTTGCTGCATAATTTAGTTAAAATCAGACTTTAATTCCTGATTAACTAACTTCAAATGAATCAAGTAGGAAGAAATTTAAAAAAATTGACTAAATAAAAATCAAATCGTTCGATACTTGCATATAAAAATCATATGAAATGGTAAAATATTGACAGCATTAATCTCTTAAAACGTATTAACTGAATATTAACAACAAGCACCTAAAGATTAACGTGGTATTAAAACTTGATGACTCTTTGCTCAACTAAAATGGCGATCACGATGAATACGACGTACAAAGCGATGAGAAAAATGCCGTAGCATCTGTTGACGTAGAACTTGTTCAACGGGATGAAAATGATTGCAGACACCAAACTGACAGCCAGAGCAGCAAAAAGAACCATATGTATTGGTTCAAATTGCACCTGCAGAATAATCAGCAAGGTTTTTTAATGAAAAACTCAAAACCTATGTCCAATCCAAAATTTGAAAACGTTTCATCTAGTAGTTTTAAAAACATGAAAAGTTAAAACGAAGTTTGAAAATTAAAATAATTACAATATAGTTCTAAGATATTTGAGACTTTTAAAAAAATACATTTTCAAATAAGTCTAAACTAGTCAATAGGCATGAAATTAATGAGTGGCTAAAACTATCTCACAACAACCTGGAAAAACTGTGCAGTAAAAATACAACTAAACATACACTGCTGAATAAAGACTATTAAATACTGAACACATAGTAAATACGCATACAAACTCGCACACACGCACAACAAGCAAACAAACCTCAACAGCACGTGTGGGAGAAGTTGCAGTAACATAGATGAACGGAATCCCAATACCAAGTAAGGTATCTTTAATTTTGTTAATATTAAAACTAATAAAAAAAAACTGCCAAACGAAAAAGTTATCAAATCCACATAATTTTAATATAATCCCACTAATCTAATATAATCCCAAAAAGTAAAAATAGAGAAAACAAAATCAGTAAAAATACAGCCAGACTAACTGAACAAGGGCCCTCCATAGCAGGCAGAAAAACCAGCCCTTGGATAACCCCTCCTAGCCATGGACACATCTGATATAAAATCTGTCAGAAAAGTTTCAGAAAAATCATCTAAAAACATCTTAAATGGAAATAAATGAATATAAATATTAATATGATAAAAACATTCGAGACGACCAAAAAATTTTAAAATGAAAAAGAAAAACTAAGCAGCCAAACAACCTCCAATACTGTTGCCCCAAGCAAGTAGCGTCAATCCCAATATGGCATTGCTTATGTTCAGCACTATACCTACTGACTACAATTTTGAGGAGAAAATTTGTTCATTGATAACTGTTAAAACTGATAAAATTTGGCGTCATGTAGTATAGGTCAAAATATATATATTCTACTAAATATTAATATATACATATATTGGAATATAAAAACCCTGAAAAACTATTACTAATTGTAAAACTTGAATACATACATAACAGAAAAACCACGATCTATATAAGCGCAATGTAATCCAAACTGAAATTAAATTAACATTAGGAATTGAACTGCCAATCAAACCTGCAGTAGGTTGACGATTTCATTGGCAATGGCCTTGATCCAAAGGACGGCAACGATAAAACCCACGAACGCAAGAACCTGTGAAGTAACAACAACAACACAAATAATAACAATAATAACAATAATAATCACAATAATAATAATATAATATTATGAAATAATATAATGTAATAATATGATATCAATATAAATTAAGTAAGAAAAAAACGTCATTGCCATCCCCCAAAATCCGGTCCAGTTTTTGAAAGGGCCGAATTTGAGACGGGTTTTGAAAAATGAAAAAAAAAACAAGAAATAAAAATAAAGAAATCTATGAAGAGTGTCGATAAATACTTGAAATGGTAGTTATTAATCATGAGTGAGTAATGGAAGTTGCTAACAGAGTGGTACTTGGGTGGAACTGAGGATGAAGAGGTGAAGAACATCACTGATGCAAGGAGCAGGCCGGCGATCAAAAATATCAAGTAAACCGGAAACACTTCGTTAATCGATTTCAATGCAACTGTTAATTGGAAAGGAAAAAAATTAATGTTCTTTGTAAATAATTGTCTCGAAAACCTATTGGGATATTAAAAATATGTGGTTACAACGCGAAAGGGACAAAAAATTTGAATGGAAAACACCCAATTTTTCAGAAAAAACTTTTAAAACTAATAAAATAACCAAGAACAAGAGCAAAGATAAAACATCAAACAGCGAAAAAAACAAAGAACAAACATTGATAATTGGTGGCAAAGACACCAAAGACCAATGAGGTGATGCAGTGTAGCATGTTCAGGGGCTTGTTCCAATTGTGCAGTGGGTTCGACTTGTCCACGACAGGGACTGTCAATTTGAAGGCGAACAGAGCTGGCATCTGTCGACATTTTTAATTGACCAATCAATCAATCAATCAATCAATCAATCAATCAATCAATCAATCAATCAATCAATCAATCAATCAATCAATCAATCAATCAATCAATCAATCAATCAATCAATCAATCAATCAATCAATCAATCAATCAATCAATCAATCAGCCAATTAACAAATGGTGTTCTTGAACAACACACCTCTTAGGCTATGTTTTCAGTTCAAAAACGACTTGAATATTAAAGCTTAAAGCCAACCCTATCATTTCTTTCAGGTTAAATTAAGGTCTGCTTAAATTTATGAAAGAATTCATTACAAATTTACTCTCAAAACGTAAACAACATATAAAAGAGAGAGAGAGAGAGAGAGAGAAAGAGAGAGAGGATCTTAATTGCAAGTAATTCGACAATATCCAGTAACTTAATATCCATTAACTTATTTAATGGGAAAAAAATAAACCAAAATTTGCTTATTTAACTAAAAAAATTAAATCATTATTCACTAAACCAAAAAATAGCGTTTTTTAAACCTAGAAAATGTATAACAAATCACCTATGTGTTATGAGCCAAAATTTAGCTACCTTAATAATGGCATAAATCCTGCTGAACAAGCCAGAGTTATGCCATTGGACGATGTCGATGGGTGAGATTGCATAGAGGAATCTTATTGGTTCACTGGAATCTGAGAAGACAGCCAACCGTGCAGCAGGCATGAATGGAAGATCTTCTGTGTGAAGGTTCATGATGAAAAACGTTCGAAAAAATTTTTAATACATGAAAGTTTGCATACAATAAAATATTTTTGAAAAATATTTCACGATCACAAAATTAATATTTATTAACAAACAACCAGCCAATAAATAAGCAGGCTAGCATGCTAACTAGCCAACCAACAATTTCGAAAATTAAAAACTGAACAAACCAATCAATCAAAACCAATCAAAATCAACCAACCAACAACCAACCAATCAAAACCAGCAAACCAACTAATTGCAATAGACTAACCATCTTCGACAATAACTACTTGCGAATCAGTGTCGTTTGAGTACTCTTCGGGCAGCTGTTCAGTGTAGATGCCACCTGATTGGTTGACATTGATGACCCAATTTAAGTATAGACCAATCATAAATTTCACTATTTAAAATTACATAAAAGGCATATTTTTTTACAATTATAATGATAAACAAATAAGCCAAGCAGGCAAGCAAACAAACAAATGAACAAACAAACAAACGAACGAACGAACAAAGAGGCAACAATTAAACTAACAAACGATAGCAACACAACCAAACAATAACAAAAAGTGAATTGATAATAATAATAATATTAATAATAGTAACAACAATAAAAACCACCACAACAACAAATCTAACTTTGGGGAAGGTTGTTGTTAGCAACAAGAGACGCAGCCGATGACGACCGGAAATTATCACTGTTGATAAAATCCTGCCTCTCTGCTGACATGCTGGATGGTGAGTCTGCAGCTGAAATTTGAAAAAAAGAAAAATATTTAGACCCTTATCACCGTCGTCGTCTTCCTCCTCATCGCCATCCAACCATTATCTACTACCATCATCATCTTGATATCATTTTCTGATATCAAATATAGGATATCAAAGGTATCATTATCTATTATCATCATCATTATCTTGATGTCATTATCTACATTATAATTACCGTTAACCTCATCTCAACTATAATAATAATAATAATAATAATAATAATAAATTGGGATTTCTTTATTTTATAAATAAATAATAATTTTTTTGAAATAAATGTTTCTTTAATGATAAATTTTTTTGTGGAAAAACGGACGACAGAACGTACAATCAACACCAGGTAACGTCTGATAGCCCCTTCTCAAGTACCTCTTGTTAATGAATCGACCAATCAGCACCACGGCCACGTAGAATGCATACCCCGCCAAGAATGCTGACAATTAAAATAAATTTTTAATCAATTAAATGTTTACAAGTTTAAAGAAAACCTTAAATTCTAACCAACAAAACCTTAAAAAAAAATTACATTCATAACTTTCTAGCACTAGAGTAACAAAACTTAATTTGCATCAACTCATAAACAGCAGCTAGACATAAAATCAAAGCCAAAAACACACACACACACTCCACACCACAAACACACACACACAAGCACGTACATACACAAACACACACACACACAAGCACGCACACACACACACACCTATCCACTCACAGAAACTCACCGCCAGCTTCATAGGTGTTAATACTTTTCATAAAGCAGACGAAAAAGGTGAAAAATGTGGTGGCTATATAGAAAGAGACATCTCTTAAGAACGGCCTCTCCATGGACTTGAAGGGACAGCTGATCCCAATGGCCCCCACTACCACTGTTGTCAGGAATACTCCAGCTCCTGGTTGAAAAAAAAATTATTTAAATTTTCTAGAAAACATTACATCGATGGATGAATACGTATGAAATGAATGATATTAAATATAAATGCTAGGCACGAAAGCAAAACACCATAAACGACTCCAAACCTAAGAGCGCTCCGAACAGTAGACTGTTGTCACCATGTTTCATGTTCTGGACAGCTGCTATGGCTGAGAAGACGTCAGGAGCGCCGTTTCCAAACGCTAACAACGTTATCCCGTGTTGGATGAATTTTCAAAGAAATAGCCCGCACAAATAAATCAAATTCTTTAGAACATTAAGGAAGAGTAGTATATTAAGATAAAAACATTCCAGATCGTTCTATTTTGAAAATTGTTGAAAATTTTGAAAAAAATTAAGATTGAGAATTTGTAATAAATGGTAGTTGATCCATTTCTTAAACTTTAAGGATAATAATGTTAAGTAAAAGCTATAAAGTACTTTAAAAATTTTATAAATAGACAAAGAAAGATATCTTATAAAGTAGATAATTTCTAAGGATATATATATATATATATATATATATATATATATATATATAGTTGGTAATAGACCATAATTTTTACAATATTCTATAAATTCTACCGAATGTTTGGCGTTAATATGTTTGTAGTTCGTTTTTTCGATTTTTCTCACTAACTTTAGATAAATAGATAGATAGACAGATAAATGGATAGACAGAGAGATAGACAGAGATTAACAAAAAAGATGAAAAGTTAGACAGACAGATATATATATATATATATATATATATATATATATATATATATATATATATATATATATATTGTAACTTAGTCTTATAAATGAAATGAAATATCAATAAAATTTAATTAAAATATTTACGTATATATACAAATACATTCAAAAAAGGATATAGCAATATTGTCACTCATATGCAATACTTTGGCAATGACAATTAAGGATGGGCAAAAACTAAAAAAAAAATTTTGAAAATTTGTTTAACAAAATATATAATATTTAATAAATAAAACAATTTCTGATATATAACAAAAAATGATTTATTATTTAATAATAAGATGGTTATAGAACTTAATAAATTCATTGATTGAAATAATTTTAAATGAAAAATTACTTTAAATAGATATAGATAGATAGATAGATAGATAGATAAATAGAAAGATACGTATTAATAAATAGATAGATTGATATGTTGATAAAGATAGATAGATAGATCGATACATTGATAAAGATGGATAGATAGATAGATAGATAGATAGATAGATAGATAGATAGATAGATAGATAGAGAGAGATTAACAGAAAAGATGAAAAGTTAGACAGACAGAGACAGATAAATAGACATACAGACTCAAGAGACAGATAGAAATAAATAACAGTTGAAAAATAATTAAAAATTGAAAAAAACCTACAAATCTGAGGCAGCTACGGCTAGGGCAACGAATAAAAACAACAGCCATATAACCTAAAAAAGAAAAAAATAAGAAAGGTAACAATTTGTGTCAAATTCCATGAAAATATTACACAATTATTAAAATAATATAGCAACAACAAAACAATACACATCTATCCTGTTGACCAATAAAATTAGAGATAATAATAATAATACCCATCTAAGAGGCCAATAGAATTACAGGCAATAGTAACAAAATCTATCAAATTGACCAATTAAATTACAGAAAACTAGGTTTAAATTTACGTATAACAATAATCAACCATTAGGATTACATTACATACAGCAGTAACACCCATCAAACGGACCAATAGAATTATAGAGGATAAAAACAGCCATCCAACTGACCAATAGGATTACAGATACTGAGAGAAAATTTGATGGTAACAAGCAGTAAAGAAATAAGGTGTATTCGATGATGCCCTCTTCGATGTGGCAGTCTGCAGTTTGGCGAGCAAATGAACATTGATAACTAGAGTTGACATTGTGTATGTTGGAGCACTGTGAAATATCAAAAAAAAAATATAAATATATAAATAAAATATATATATATCTATAAATATTTTAAAATATAATAAAAAAACAATATGCCAATGATGATTTTGAATAAAAATATATCATACAATGGTAAAAAATATCTACAATACTTACTAAAATTAGCCAATGTCACATGATGAGTAATTAAAAAACTGAAACAAAAGAAAAACACCCAACAAGAAAGGAACACAAAACAAAACCAAACGGTGCAAACAGCCCTTTTATTTATAGAACAGAACACAATAATAATATCAACGTTACTAACGTAAGTAGCATTCGCCTCTGTTATCATAAAACTAGACATTTTATTTAAATTTAAAACATCAAATTTCTAAAAAAAAAATACTAATTTCATTTTAAAATGCAGTTCTTAAAGCTTAAAATCCTACTTTTATCAGAGCATTATAAAACTCGGGTTAGTTACCAGCTAAAAGTGAATTGAAATAAAAAGGGTAAAGTGCAAGACTGTCAAATGAGATATTTCCAAAGTCCTAACTAGTAATATAGATTAAATTATATATATATATATATATATATATATATATATATACAAAAAAGTTAATTTTTACAACGTCAAAGTTCATCTTGACAAAGTCAATATTTCCCTATATATTCAGCAAGGAGCACTGATGATGATTCATTCGGAATCGAAATATGGCCTTATTTGCAGCATGAATTCGAAAAATAAGTTTATTTTGAATTTTAATAAACTAAACGTTCACCAAAAAACTTTAGTGAGAAAAATCGAAAAAACGAACTACAAACATATTAACGCCAAACATTCGGTAGAATTTATAGAATATTGTAAAAATATATATTATATATAAATCAAATTGAAACAAAATGGAAATAAAGTAACTAACAAATCTAAATGTTTATTAAACAGTAGTCCAATAATAATTTTTTTTCAGTGCTCTTGTCGGTATAAATGTCATAAATTCTGGAGCAATTTTTGTGAAGTTTTTGTCTTCTTAGTCACGTAAATCAATTTGGTTCATTAAAATCAGAATCTAAGGATGAAATAACTACGCTAAATCTTGAATGAAACTTTGATATGAGATGTTGTCATTCTAAAATATAAGAAAAGATATGCAACAAGTATGGTTTTATTCTGCTACCGGTGTTTCAAGTTAATTTTAGATATCAATTCACTCAATTATGAACGATTACAATTTTCAAGATGTATTTTATTGCCTGAAATTGAAATAAAACAAGAGCAAATTACAATGTTCAATGTGATGAAATGTAAACTGTAAAATATCCTATGACAGATTTCTAAAACGTTGCATAGCTAGGAAGATGTCTATTTCTTCCGCGGACATTGCACTAATATTAAAAAATAAAAAAAATGTCGATCAATTAATTTAAATAAAAAATTTTCAATATCAGCGGATTCCGACGATGTAACATAATAATATACGATATCAACAAGCTCAGTACCTAGTATTAACAATTATTAATTGACGTAATTATTTATTAATTTTAAATAATAAAATTAATAAACTTATATATTCACAACGTTTTCTTTAAATTTAAAATCTTATTTATAAATTTAAGTAGTAGTAAAGCTGACCTATCATATTCTATGACAAAAAATATAGACGAGTGTCTTTGAATTTGTCGAAAAAAAAATCCCTAAACCCGTAAAAATGAAAAAAAAATCTTCCTAAACAATGAAAATTCCTGACTAAGTCACTGACTTTAACTGAAACTATGATGTTGAGAAATGTGTCTGAAGTTATCTACAAGTCAAACATGTTTTTACAGTGTAATAGGGCTGAAGACATCAGTGTATAAATGAGACGAACTCTTGAAGAAAAAACTTCTGAACAGTTGATTTTAAGGTTAAAATCTGATGAGACCATTAATAAAAATAATGAATTAATATTATAGGTGAATGAATAGAAGAATGAAAGATATGTTTGTTAAATAGAATACAAATTAATGATATTAAGTTTAAATCAAAGATAAAATATGAAATAAATAAAAAGATAAATTAATAATCGTTGTTGATGTGAGGCACTTCTTCATAATTCGACAACCTCTCTTCCAAGCCCTTAATTCTCCTCTCATGACCCTTCACGATGATTTTCAACTTGCGAATGTCGTCCAAGATGCTCTGCACGTCGAAACCCTGAAACAAGGGTTTGAGAGGTTTTTAATTTTATCAGAAAATTATTTTTCAATTTATTTTCTATTGAGGAGAATGCATACAATTCATGAAACAAGGCATGGCGACCTCGAAATTATCTTAATCTTATTTTGTATCTTCTAGGTTTAGTCGTTTGTTTTTGAGAACAAGTGTCTAAATCAGAAAAATATTAAATAAAATATAGATGACACGTAGTCGCCAATTTTTAGATATGACGTTTTTCAAAAGACGTAACTTACTGCCGGAAGAGCAGCGGTGGAGGTGTTGGAAATATTTTGTGGTGTCGTCTGCACTTGTTGTCTGGTGTTATTTGATTGGTCGATGATGTGGTTGGCTGGTTCTGTGGTCTTCTTTAACGCTGGCGTGTCGGCCAGGACAGCTCTCCTCGCATGGGCTGGGGTAGGTTCATTCTTCTTGGCCACTCTGTAGCCCTCCTTCATGGACATCTTAAAAATGGATGTAGCATCAATTTTTAGAGTTTCGTTTAAAGAGTTCATATAAAAAATTTTAAAAATTCATTAAATTATTCATTTCAGTTTCTTTTTAATTAATTAAACAGCAAATGTTTCTTATAAAATGAAATAACATTTGAAAAAACAATGCATATCATACAAAACGGACCAGTGTCGGAGGAGCATTCCTTCCTTCAATCCATTCATCTGCAGTTAGGGCGGGAACATCGCTGAATGTGTCTGGGTATAAATCGTCTTGAAACAATTCAGACTGTCGGGAAAGAAAAATTAACCATCGTCAAATTATTGATTTTGTTTTTAGCAAATAATAGTTTCAAATAAAGAGCTTAAAACTTTGAAAATGGACTAACTTTTCGAGGTACGGTCATAGGAATAATTTCGCAAAATCCTTTCGTGTGCAATTTATAAAACCTTAAGAAAAAAAATCACAAAACATGGTTCATTTTATTTTTAAATGTATTAATAATTTAAAAAATTAAAATAATTAATTATTAGAATGGGAAAAACCGACCTGGCGATCTCACAATTATTGACATTCAGACCACGCTTTGGCATCCAGCCGATACCTCGTTGGGGCTCGTTTGATTGATAGGTGTTCAGGTAGTGAATGTAGGGGGCCTCATCTGTTATCTCGAAGTATCTGATTGCACTATCTCCCTGTTTCATTTTGTAAAAATCTCCTGTGGCTAATGCTCTATTGGTGAATTTACTTATAACTTATATCTATAACTTATATCTATAAGTGTAATTTTATTTTTTTTTCATTTATTTTGTAATTAAAGCAAAATTATTGAAGTTTTATCAAAAAAAATCGTTTAATAATAAATATTTGTCGTCATCTAAAATAACTAAATGACTATTCACCTTTCCGCAGAGGTAGATGAGATTAGTGTCCGGATCGTAAAATGGAAATATGACTCCATTGCTCGAGTCGATTTCTTGCATTACTATGTTGTTCAGGTGCTGGATAATCGTTTTTCGCGTTTTTATCATATTTTATGGGATCAAACAATTTGATAATATTTAGAACAGTTTTTGTTTGCTTGAAAGATTGAAATTTTTTTTTTAAATATTACCAGCAAACATTTCTAAACTATTTTAAAATTATTTTTTAACAAAATAAAATCATTAAAATACAAAACGATCGTGATTGGTTTAAAGTTCACAGACCCCGTCCCACAGAGCGTATTGTCTCTCGCTCATTTTCGAGAAGCCCGTCGTGAAGATGGAGCCGTTCTTAAGGTAGACGACTTGCGAAGGCTTGGTACCCTCGTGCCCAAATCCCTCCTTCAAATTTTACAATTAAATCTCGGTTAGTAATTTTAGTAATATGTGAATAAATCTGTTTAATTTTTAAGATTTTAATGGATAAACTTTTCATTTTCGCTTTTATAAGATTAAATCCATGTTAGATATTTTTTATTTTTCTTTTAATAATTCTTTTTAAATGAACAAGACGCCAAAAATCTGATTATAAAATGATTGGCAAACTTCACCCTAATAAGCCGACCAGTCCTGGGATCAATGACCCTCAACTTGCGATCCTTAGATGAAGCCACCACCCTGCTACCGTCCCAATTCCACGAAGCACTCAACGGGATATCTGGAAAGTCTATTTCACTGACGACTTCACTCGTGCTTATGTTCCATATGAAAATTTTGTTGTCGGAGCCTGTTCATTTTTAAAGTTTGAGTTAACAATTTTCGTGGCTACATTTAGGTATTTTAGCTTTATGCATTCAAATCAAAATTACTTAGATAAGTAATGATCTACTGGGGCTATAATTCAATCGTGAAAAATTATGGAAAATAAACCAAAAAACATCGTAAGCCTTGATAAAAAAAATTTAGATTAATGCTAACCACCAGCAAATACTGTCCACAAAAATGGTAACTACAAAAACAAATCTCAAAATAACATCTAAAGAAACTTTCATCCCAACGCACCTGCACTAAGAAGAATATTATGAGCAGACGGATGCCAGACAACCAGACCAACTCTTCTCTGGTGGGCGAGCAGGTCTACGATTGGCTCGTCTAGACTTCGAAAGAGACCACGTTCAGGTATTTGCCAGACTTTTACTGTGCAATCCTCAGAGGCGCTGGCGATGACGTCATCGTTGTGGGGACACCATTGAACGTCAAGGACGGCCGCTTTGTGGCCTCCAACGATCGGTGCGTCTCTATCTACTCGCCCTGTCTGATGTTTTTGTTGATGTTGTTGATGTTGGTGGTACTGCTGCTGCGTTTGTCGCTATTATAGTTAAAGTTGATTTATGTTAAAGTTAATTAAAATTGATAATGGTGATAAAGTTGATGGTGTATTTTGGTGATGTTTAGTTGGTGTTCATATTTTAAAGTATTTTTGGACGTTGGGTGTAGTAGTTTTTAATGATTTCGTAGTTGTTTGACATTCAGAATGGCGGCCTTACAGACGCAATCGATAACATTTAATGACGTCAATAAAACAATGACAAATTAGTATCGATTCAACAAAAACAGGTATCCAAATTAAGGCTAAAAAATATCCGATAATGATGATTAACAATATTTCCATTATAAATTTGTTATTAGAGCAAATCATTTTTATCATTTTTAACAACAACAACAACAACAACAACAACAACAACAACAACAACAACAACAACAACAACAACAACAACAACAACAACAACAGCCATATAATAATGATTAAGATCTAACATTTCTGATGAAACGTCTGAGAAATGGCTCTATTCATTTAAAAAATCTGCGTGAATCATTCATTAATACATTCAGTTCAGTATGAACGCATTTAATTTTTTTCCTTCTTTTATAATTTTTGCATGGAGATCAAAATAAACGAACGAACAAACAAACAAGCGAACGAACAAACAAACAAGCGAACGAATGAACAAATGAAAGAACGAACGAAACATTACACTCAACTAAGGAAAAAACACGCACACCCACACACGCGCGCACAAACACAAACATACAAATCAGCGCTACGAAATAAAAACAAACACACACATAAAAATACACACAAATACATACAGCCAAACATTCAAAAGTTCATCTTAGTAAAAGATATATAGCATTGGAGGCCTACAACAACGACATACAGCTGCAGATACACAGTTGAATATACAGTGTTTAACAAATTAATCATTCCAGTTAATTTTATTCCACATGTTTTTCATCTGTACATGGAAAACACAGACACACACATCCATTTACACACACCATAACACACTCACTCGCACAATCACATACATACAAACAACATATGAATCATACATTAACATACGCTAAAATAAATGATATCATTCACATGACGATATCTATAGAAATAACATAAAGCGGTTTCTGTGGGTTTTGAACTAGTTATATATCATACATAAATAAAAGTAGAAATAAATGTTCCACAATATCATGCTTAGATACTATATCATGAGTAGATGCTATATCATGCGTAGATAATATATTAAGCGTAGATACAATACATCATATACTTGATATAGAGATACATTCATGTAGTATATGTAAGAGTTATATAACGTCTACGGATACTTTCTCACAAAAAGTACTGGAACGGTATGCGCATAAATGGAGAATACATCAATGCATAGCCATATATGGTCACGACGAATGCAGCAGACACGAGGAGTAGGGTTGATAAAGTTTCAGGAAAGTTCAAATACTTGAGCGAGAGTTTATCTCGTTTTCAATGTGAAAAATGTTCCTCTAGGTTCACTTCTATCAATTGTTTATGTTTATTCTTTTTTCATTTTTTTTTATTATTCTTTAAAAATCAGGATCTGACAGACGCAGAAACTGTAACAACATGCAAGGCAGTAAAACAAAATTAAACAAATAAGTGAGAAATGGTTATGATTTGTTTAGTGCTTGTTTGTTTGAGTCTGTTTATTTTTTTGTTTAGATGTTTGTCTATGTTTGTTTACGATGTGTATTTTGTCTGTACTTTAACAAAGTACTTTTTATAAGTTATTTTTATGTGTTTTTAGATATTTTTAATCAAATTATCTCCATAAAAATTGTGCTCGGAGTTGTTTAACTTTCCAAAGAGAGAAAGAGAGGGAGATGGATGAATGAGTCATGTTCATTTCATGTTGTTAGCAGATGCTGGAATAATGGAAAATATAATATCAAATGGGAAATATGTATTATTAACTATAGCTATAGTTTATAAATATATACATGCATGTCTTTGTTAAACGTTAAACATTGATTTTAGTTTTAATTAAGCATTTATTTTCAATTTTCAAAACTTAAACTCCGAATTAATCGTGATAAATTTAGTCGATTTAAGACAGAAAGCAGGAGAGGACGCGCTTCATATTAATTCATTTTATTCTCTTTATTTATTTATTTTTTTTTAATTTATTCAACTTTATTTTTTCAGCCTAATTGTTTAAACATATGTGAATGTAAGTTATTATCTACCCAAAGTTTTAATGACTTATAAATGATTTATTAAACTTTTGTAAATTGATGGATGTGCTCTGATTGCTCTAAGATATTTAAGCCTCATAGCGAAAAATTCTTATAAAACATGACAATAGATTCTATATTTTTAATAAAACATCACAGGAATGAACTTCAAAATGTCATCTTTGTCATATTTTAATACCTTTAATTCACCATATAATTTCATTGCAGCGGTGATGTTGAACTATCAGCCATCATCCTTTTAGCTCAACCACCTGACCTCTATTAATTTGTTTCATTTTTACCTCATTCATATAACCAGCAAGCAAACCTAGACAAACCCAAACAAACCAACAAAAAACAAAAACCAACAAACACAAACAGCCAACCAACCAACAACAAGTACAAACAAACCAACAAACACAAGCAAACACAAAAAAACCAACAAACTTTTTCAAGGGGTAAGACCAGAAAAGCCCCCCCACCCGCGGCTTCCGTGATGATGGCGATGAACTTGGAATTGACGGAGCAAAAAGTGGAATCCCAACTACTGCTGGTTATTCTGATGTTGTCGTAACACTGATCTCGTTTCAGAGCCTGGCCAAACACGTGTCGAAATTTACTCTGGCGAACCACACGAAAAGACATTTTTGGTATTGATTCTTTGTACTTCAATTTTATATTTATCTTTAATTATGTTTTTATGGTAGCTATTTTTATTTATTTTCGACTATTATTTTTAATTTGCTGGCGTTAGCTGTTAGTTGAATATAACTTGATAAATTTGCGGTTATAACTTCCAAGATGATGTACAGTAAACGTACTTCAAACTTAATTTTTGCAGTAATTTTAAAGAGCAACTAATTATATATCTTGTTAATATTACCGTATATTTTTAGTGCGACTTCACAGCCTAAGAAATCCTTTGCTGATGCTTACAGAAGTTTGAAATGCAAAATGCTTTGATCGTTGTTTCAGTTTTTAGCTGTTCAGTGCAACGTTTCATACAGTGTTTATAGCGTTTTATAAAATAAAAATTAATAAATCAGTCTATAATATAAATATATACAATACCAGATTTTAAAATTCTTTCAGAGTTTACTTTTTAAAAATTAAGTCACAAACAAACAACCAATAAAATCAATGTAAAATTCACTAAGAATATATATTTATGTTGGCGAGATGAAAAAAAAAACTACTGAATGAATGTAAAAGTTCCGTAGAAACAGGGCGAAATGGTTCTGCACCAAGAAGGAATAATGTACATTATATAATATGTTGTATATAGACAGTCTGTGTTAGTCTAAGTATTAGTCTAATAGTCTAGTCTATATACAATACACTGTTTAAATCTCAAACTATATAAAAATTCACATTAATTAAATTTTTATTCAGACAAAATTCATTTTAATTTATCTAAAAATGGCGACTTTATGAAATTTTAATTAGCAGAAACTGGAGATTTTACTTTTGTGCACTCAGTTTTATTATATTTAAAAGCGAAGATGAAATTGTGTTAGAAAGTTTTATATAGAGAAATCCGGTTGTGATTGCATTGCATTCTGCATATATTGTTTGGATTATATATATATATATATATAAACAATATATATATATACACATGCATACACAAAACTTTTGTATATGTTACATGTGTACGTGTATTTATGTGGTATATATACAAATGTATATATGGTATACATGGTATAATTGTGGTATAATACATACATTACATACATACATACATATTTTTGGGTCTCGTGGCCGAGTGGTTAGCGTGTCCGTCTACCACTCCCACGACCCGGGTTCGAATTCTGCAGTTTCTACAGATTCATCCGGGTAGCCGACCCCCGGTCAACCCAGCCGTCCATCCTTTCGAGGTTGGTAAATGGGTAGACGACGTAAGTTGTCGCATGTTGGCCGGCGAGATGGCTCAGTGGTTCAAATGCTCGCTGAGTCAAACATCTCAATGGCAAACATCTCAGCGTATATGATGCGGTGCTTGCGCGTGCACATAAATACATGTGTACGTCGTGTGAAAAGGATAAACAGCCTTTGTGGCAAAAGATGGCTGCTTCAAATAAATAGATGAAGAAAACATAATAAAAGATATATAGATAACATAATATATCTGTAACATTGTAAGTGGCTCTGCGTATGTCAGAGCTGCAATAATAAAGACTAATAAAAAAAAAAAATTTATGTGAATATATTCATATACATTAAATGTAGTTAATATGTTTATTGTGTTTCTTGACGCCTTGTTTTTTGCATAGGATGAATAAGGGAGGTATCCAGGTCTCTATATAATAGTTTCATTCTACCTTATTTATCTTACTGTAATATCATTTGGGGTAATAGCCCGTCGTATATTGTTAATCATTTATTTAATATGCAAAAATGGTTCATTAAAATATATTATAATTTAACCTTAATGTCTCATGTTGATCATTTGTTTTTAAAATTAGACATTTTAACAGTTAAACAATTGAACATTTATTATTCATCGATCTTTATGTTTAAATTGATTAACAACTTATTACCTAATTATTTTGTTAAATGTTTTCATCTAAGATCTAACATTCATTCTTTATCGACTAGGCAAAATAATATTTTTTACATATACCCAAATAGGTTAAATATTTACCAACATAGTATATTTGTAATTGGCCCAAGTATATGGGATGGAATTCTGCCAGAGGACATTAAAATTATATCTAATTTGAAGTCATTTAAAAAGTTTTTGAAGAAATTTTTGATAAAATATGATCCACCATGAGAACTATTATTTTAATTAATGGACCTGTAACATTGTAACATTTATCTATCAAACTTGCATTTAATTTCTTTTCTGTTGTTTAACTAATTACAAATAGTATTAGATATTATTTTGTTTTCGTGGGCTTGTTACATTGGTTTATGTATGTAATCCATCAAATTTACATTTATCTTTCATTTATGTTTAATTAATAAAAGTATATAAATTGTATTTAACTGTTCAGTGATCACGGTGGCCTTCACAAGATTATTTTATCTTATGTGGTCTCCGGAATCAGCTGTCTGATGGATTTATTTTCTTTTAAATTTTTCTTTCAGTTGGTTCAAATAAAGTATTTTCGTTCGTTCGTTCGTTCGTTTGGACAGGAAGAAAAATGAGTTAGGTCTATTATTTTCAGAAGGGTTTTGTAATATTTCGTCAGGAAGAATCAAAGATTTTAACTGGAAAGTGTGCATGAGAGTAACGCTGATTACACGTAATTCGAATTGACAAATTTTGACGCATTAAATAAAAGTGAATAAAAAATTATCTAGATACGAATAGTTTTGCTTGAAAATGATGTTATTAATTCAGCGGCGCCAATAAACAGCATCATCAACAACAACATAATCCTCATAAACAACAACAACATCATTACCGTCATCAACAACAACATGTGAAACGCAATACGTTTTGTGCGTGCTTAAATTGAATAACTTGGTTCTTCAGCGATAAATAAAGTTTATCTGGAAAAAAAAATATTAAAAAATATCCATACGTTGTTAATAATAAATGTTATAAATGAATTTTATTTGGATTATTTGTTGAGATTAAGAAAGAAAAAGAATCACATCAATTAATAACGATTAATACAATACGATGCAATACCACTGAACTAGTCAAAATCAGTATGATACACTCAAACATAACGTGATGATTGTTTAGAAATATTCACTTAGTAAAATATGAAAAATTGTTCGTAATAAAATAATGGAAAATTTAATCATTATTCACAATGATGATGAAGGTGATGTGTAAGATAATGAGGAGAGAGAGAGAGAGAGAGAGAGAGAGAGAGAGAGAGAAAGATGGTGATGACGAAAGAGAAGAAAAGATGATGATGATACCGATGATGATGACGTTGAAGGTTAATACGCATCACCAAGCATACCCTTATATGGAAATTATCTTAGAATGCTTTCCAGAAATATGCATACAAGCAACAAACACCATTGCTCATATATGTATATATATTACATACATACATAATCTTGTTTAATTTTGTGTTATTTTATTTTGATGGCGCTTTTGAATTTTAACTAACAAGCGCTAGATAAATCTTTTGATAATAATAAAAATAATAAACATACATACATACATACATATATGTATGCATACATGCATGCTTGCATACATGCATGTATGCATACATACATACATACATACATACATGGATATTTGAACACATAGTTAAACTTGTTTATATATATATATATGAAAGTGTTTATATACATTTGAATATAGTATGTGTGTGTATATAATAATGTACAAGCAATTACACACTTTTATCATCACAAGTAGTTTATATGAATCACGTGATTCTACATTGTTTTTTTTTAGAAATTATTGATATCAATCATTTATTACCTTTTATACGTTGTACTATAAAATTTTAGTGAACTTAAAATGAATAATATATAATATAGGAACTGAACTATAGCACTTAGACTCAACTTTGATTTTTGAGTATCTGCATCATTTAGCCATACACACATCATCTTCAATCAATATTCATCTACTATATAAAAAGATTTAAAATAAAATATGTGACGTTAATATTTCCAGGCCCGCTAATCTTCTTCTTTCTCGTGCTTTATCCTTTCAGGACATTGGAGACCACCGACCTCCACAAAACCCGATCTTTAACACTGTGTAGTAGTTGTGGTACGCTTATAATGAGAAGAATGATTGTTATTTCAGTGGTACGATAGGTCTTATCTGTAATTGGGTCGGGTCAATAATCTCCATATAGTCCTCATCAAACACGCAGCTTGCCGCATTAATGTAATCTGAGTTTGAAAAATTATTTAAATTTAATCATCAATTTTATAGCACAGCACTGTGATTTTGAAATTTCATTCAATTGTTGGCGAGTAGTATTCTAATAACAAGCTAATTGATTGATTGATTGATTGATTGATTGATTGATTGATTGATTGATTGATTGATTGATTGATTGATTGATTGATTGATTGATTGATTGATTGATTGATTGATTGATTGATTGATTGATTGATTGATTGATTGATTGATTGATTGATTGATTGATTGATTGATTGATTGATGTGTAGGACTACGTTCTGTGTAAGAAAACGCTGTAAGGTTATTTAATAAAGAAAGAAATGGGAATGAGATTACGTCATGTATCTTATTCGAATTTAAGTAATAAAAATTGAAAAACTAAACTAAAATTTAAAACAATCAATGAAATAAATAAATTATTTAAAACTTTAAATAAACTTGTAAGTTATTTTTATCAACATTTTGATGAATTACTTCCAAAACTTCAAGAATTTATGTAAATATAACCTATAAAATTCTTTCGGCAGTAGAAGTAGGAATCACCAAAAGTGTCTTTTGGCTCAGTGATCCAGTAAGCTGGATGAAATTCTTTCGGGGTGTTTGCAAGATTTCCATTTCTCCTCCCCTTGTTTGCAGCAGGCCAGGACGAATCATCGTAGCCGACTTCGTACCAGCCGTCATATGCTTCCTTGAGACATTTCCATGTTGAGTTTGTCAGGATGTGATCGTCCAGTGTTTTGGCTATCAAGCCCCCTGTTTTTGTAATTTATAAGTGTTTAGGTGAGAATAATTTTTTAGTGTTTAGGTAAAAATAATTTTTTTCCATTTGATGTAAAAGTAGTCTAAAAGAGTTGAACAAACCTAAATCCCTAACGTTGTGTGACCGGATGGCCAGTACGTAAATGGATCCAGTTAAATCGTATGTGTCATTCTTTTTCCAAGTGTTTGCATTTGGAAAGTTCGATTGGATAGGCACAGAGTCTCCGTTCACGTAGAATTCACTCAGTTCATCGTCCACCGTTATTGTCAGCAGTGACTGATTGAACTGCACACCTGCCTGGTGGGCTTCAAACAAATTAGGAATTAATAATGATTTAAAAATATTTTTAATGAAATTGAAAAATACCAGTTTCGAAAAAATAATGGCAATGAGGTACCACAGAAAAATTTCTCAACTTTCCATCAAAAAGTTGGCAGTCATTTGAATGAAGCCAGTAGTTGTAAGCCACACAATTGTTCGTTTGTGAGCATCTCATCGAGCACAACATGAACGCTTCCTTGGACGAGGAGCTGGCGAAATTCAACTTTGCAAATGGCAAATCACAAGCGCAAAAACTTTTCCCGCTTCTTTTGAATTTTGTGAAACATTTGGAACATGCACACGCAGCAATTATTATTACACAAAAAACTAATTTAATCATGTTGTCAAATTTTCAGCGGTTGTAAATAATTTTTCAAATATATTACTTTGACACGCTACTTATTTGTTGTAGCGTTGTAGCTATGCATTCACTTCATCATTGTTGTCTGCAACGAGTCTTTGTGCAAACACTATTTTAAAACCTTTTATTTGCAATTCGTGAGACGGTGTGCCAAAAGGACGTATGTTTAATAATCAAACATTTTCACCTTGTTTCCAGGAAACACTGTATCGACACTATATTCACCTTTGAGCAAATATTCAAAGGCTTGAAAAATTAAAAAACACAAATCGTACCTTCCCTTAACGTTTGCTCTCAAACAACAGGTTAGAGTTTCTGATGTTTAATTTGATCCCTTTGGTTTGAAACATTATAAACTGTAATGAAATGGTAAATTGTTAGAAGACGCCATTTCTTAAACTTCATAAACAAATGTCTACAGTCGTTCATTACAAAATTATGTTATTTTGAAAATGAGGTTATCAAAAGAGGAAATTACTAGTTAATCCGACGGGGGCAGTAAGACTTTTAGCCACATCATGCGTTAAGAAAGAATGGAAAATCTAACAATTACTGGAAAGATTGCAGTGAAAAGAGATCGCGGTCAACACCAAATAACATTCCCAGTCAACATAGATTTATGACATTTGTGTATAGCCCCATTTCATTGTACCCCCCAGTTTTTATATTGAGTACTCTTGCTTGACTTTTGTGAGCCGCACTTACGAAGACGATATACAAACATTCAATTCAATTCAATAATGAGTTTATTCAGCAAAAAGCTAGGAGACCCGAAGATATGACTTTTTGGGCCACCATGAAAATAATAATCATAATCGATACATAATTGATTTTGACGATCAGAAATGTTTAGATGCAAAAACAGGCAACTTATTAAAATATTTCGAAATTTTTATTTAACCTAAAGAACAACAAAATCAACAACGTAATTTATATTCAAAACAAATTTATTTATTAAAGATCACCGAATTGTGTGAATTAAAAAAAAAAATTTAAGCTGGTATCTTCTGTTTCTGAAATGAAAATATTTAAAAGCAATGAAACAACAGAGCCAATTTATCTTACGAACAACAAAAAGTATATTTAAATATAATATAAAGCCAAAGAAAATACAAAAATAAATACAATTTAATAAAACAAATAGCAGTAAAATACAATAAAATAGAGAAATATAAGACCTGACTCTGCCTATGAACGCAATCTACAAATGATTTAACTTCGTGGGAGCATGCAAGTGGCAAATCTTTATGATCAGTGTAACACTGAACTACAATACTCTGTAACTCTTTACACAGTGGGTCCTTTCTTAAAGGTTTGCTGTCAAAAATGTTTAATTGAAACAATTTGTTGAGTGTTTAAATATAATAATGAGATGAATAATTTACTTGTAAACGAACATATCAACATTTTTACATTAATGATATCATTATTTTATAATTTAAAAAAGAACCATTTTCAATAAAAAACAAACATCTTGCCAAAAGATATTTTTCACAAAATTTAAATGAAAACTTATAAATTAATCAAAAGATGCAAAATGAAGTAAATGAATGAATAATTACGGAAATTTTTTATGGATCTCATTGACAGCTGCCTGAAACTGAGCCTGACTTGTTTCCTTCAGTATTTTGTTCTGTTTTTGTGAAAAATTAAAAAATATTTTTTTGACTAAATGAAATATAACAGAAAGAATAAATTTGAAATATTAGAATAGTGTCAAAAACACATAAAAATTATGATAAATAAATGAATAAATTTATGAACTAGCAAATGAATGAATGACTAAATGCACAAATAAATGAATTACAAACAGATAATATCCTAACCTGTTCTTCAAGAGATTTCAACTGCTGCTTATAATAATTTTCAAAAACTTTAATCTGTTCTTTTTTGGATAGGTACAATGTATTTGCCTCTAGTGACACTGGCCTGAAAGAACTTACCTGCTGAAATTAATAATTATTATTCTAAATTAATTATTAATATAATAATTATAATTAATTATGGCAGATGAGGGTAATTAAATTTTAAAATAATTTTTTGGCAAAAAGTTTTATTTTTGAATTTAAAAAAAGATATAACTGTTACCTGTGAAGTTGTTCCATCTGATTGTGCTATAGCTATGGGGATTTAAAGATTACTGATACAAATTCAAATATACTACTGTTGTGATTATTTATATTATTAAATTGCACAATAATATTCATTATAATATATATACACAAATTTTTACATACAAAAAAATGATGTCACAAATATATTATCTTAAAAATTAGATACAACCCAGACCTGGTTGCTCATCATCTTTATTTTTACCAAGCAAACGTTTGGCCACAGCTTCTGATATCTTGAAAGAAATTGATTACTAAATTTATATATATATATATATATATATATATATATATTAAATCTTTTTATTAAAATATTAATTTAATTAATCAATCAATAACTAAATGTTAACTTAGTAAAAATTAATTATAAAAAGGCAAAAAAAATACTGAAAGTGAAACAAAAGGAATCAAAACCCCAATTATAGAATCATTATCGGCCTCATTGCTGCTAGCTTCCTGGACACTCTGACCCCCACCCATGTCTTAAATTTTAAGTTTTTTATTATACGAAATTTTCATAAAAACTCAAATTTTCTCCTTGAACATTTGAAATATAGATGCACTGGTAAACATTGTTCGACTAATGACCGCAACGATTAGCATCTATATGTGTGTTTATGTCTATACCACATAACTAAAATAAATATAACGGCCTTCGCTCACTTTTAACGGTCGAACAAGGAGCTTGCTTCCGGAAGAGATTTGGAAGGTGATTTATTATCGTTCGAGTCAAGAGTCGGGCTATTTGACATGCTTGGATTATTGGCTTACGAAATTGCAGGGATTTTAACGAGCAAGCTATTTAAAATATTTACTTGACATAATATGCTTAAAACATTGTAGTAATTCTCTTTAATTTTATTAAATAAAATTATGATTTTATTAAATAAAATTATGTATTATTAAATTATTGTTGTTAATTTGAATATAAAAATTATACTTTTGTTCCTGTGAAATCCGGTGGCTTTTTACTGAAGCCGAAGGTTGGCTAAGTAGGATTGAACTAAAGTCACCCTTTTTTACACTATTCGATCATGTTAAAAATTTGTTTGCTCATGAAATAAACGGCCTAAATAGATCAAAATTGTTATTTGAACAACTATCTTCATTATATTCAATGAATATTTTACATTCTGCTGGTGCTCATAGAAATTATGGTTGCTGAAATAATACGTTGGCTTACTGCAGTGGCTTACTGGGTCTCATACAACAGTGTCATGGCGGTTTTTTTTACATATATGCTTTAAATAAGTCAATATATTCATTTCACAATTATTTTTGTCAATATAAAGAAAGAAATTGCTTTTGTCTGGTAAAATACAGTGGCCAAGTAAAGCCGTATGTTGGCTTAATCGGATTTTTTTTTCATATATACAATACTATGAGATCAATCAATCAATCAACCAATCAATCAACCAACCATTCATTCAATCAAATAATTAACCAACCAATCGACCAATCAATGAACCACATTTGAAAAATATTTGCAAGGATTGTTCAAACTCGAACAAACACTTAACTGTACAGATCTACAAACAATTTCGAGATTTTAGTAAAGAAAGAAAAACACAATAGTTGCTTTTATTAAATCAAGAAATATCCAAAAATTATATAACCAAATTTAAAAAAACTAGAAACCATTTAATAAATAATTGAATAAATAAATAGACATTATTAAAAAGATTGTTCAAAAAAGTAAAATTTAAGGCGACGACGAGAATAAAATGTAGTTCGTTTTGTTGGTGTGGGGCTGTGAAGCGAAAACAAACACATCACAAAAAACTAGTAAAAAGTCGCAAGAATAGTAGTCAACTCACCTACCTACAAATATGTTTTTTACGTTTTGTTTGGAATTTTACATGTTTTAGGTATTTTATTTTACATATTTCAGCGTTTTTATTTTACTTGAAACTTTGTAACTAATGTAAAGCCCTAGCCTACCTACGATTGTTCAACTCATCTCAATCCCTAACTTACCTACGAATTAAATTAAGTCTGGTAAAGAAAATAGAAAGTTGAAGAAAAACATAACAACAACGACACCGAATGAATGGATGTTGTGTATGTGTGTGTTTTATTGATGTGTGTGTGTAAATGTGTGGGCGTGTACTCTCCAAAAACTTCTTCACTCACTACGGACGAACCTCCATTGCACCGACCATCATCTGACACGCATCGATGGAATGAATTTGACCGGATACTGAAAAACACTAAATTGAAAAAAAAATTCTTTAAAGTAAAAAACAGGCCATTGGAAAAAAAGGGAACTTATCTTATTGAGATGACAAATTCGAGTACTTTTAATGGTACGATGGTACAAGAACAAATTTTCTTTTATCTTCAAATTGTCATCGGAACGATCATCATGAGACCACCATCTGAAACATGTTGACGCCCACCACAGCCCACCTCTCATCATTCTGTAGACAAGTCTTTTTTTAATTAGCGTGTTGCTGAATCAAGGAACAAAGGAACGAACGAATAAATGATAACTGAATGATTGAATGATTGGTTGAATGAATGAATAATTAATTAAACAATCAATGAATGATTTAACGAATGAATAGAATGAATCAATTAGTGGAGGAATAATTTGAAAGATAGTGATAAAATGAATGAGAAAAATAAAAAAAAACTAAACCATACTTCAAAAATCGTCGTTTGTTGTTTCCTTCAAATTGTCATCGGAACGATAATCATGAGACCATCATGTGAAACGTGCTGACGCCCACCACAGCCAACCTCTCATCATTCTGTAAAAAGTTATTTTTATTAGCTTAGTGGTAAATCGAGGAACAAAGGAACGAACGAATAAATGATGAACTGAATGATTAAATAATTAGTTAAAAGAATGAATGAATGAATGAATGAATGAATGAATAGAACGAATTAACGTCAATTAATGGAAGAATAATTTGAAAGATTGAGGGAAAAAATGAATGAATGAGAAAAATAAAACAAACGATACTAAACCTTACTTCAAAAATCGTTGTTACTTTAATCCATTGCACCGACCACCACATTCAGATCGGCACACAAGATTTCATCCGAACTTCTTAGTGTCAGTCGAACAGCCAACGCGCTGATTCTTCCTACACCACATCATCATACGTAAATCATCATGAGACCACCATCTGAAACGTGCTGACTCCCACCACTGCCCACCTCCCATCATTCTGTAGACAAATTTTTTTATTAGCGTAGTAGTAAATAAATGTTAGAATCTTAGAACCAAAATTATAAAATTGAAATGGCAAATAATAATAATAATAATGGCAAATAAATAATAACTGAAAATAATAAAGAGATTAAAATGTAAAAAAAACTTACCGTCGTCCATTCGACAAAAGCAGAATGTTGAATACTTTCCGGTTCCTACGTTGTCTTCCAAAACTGGTGCCAGTCCTCCTCGAGATTGTTGTTGAAACACAGCCAGTGTTGATGGAGAAAGATAAACAGAAGATTCTCATCAGAAAGCTTAGCGGTGCCTGCATCTCAAATTGCTTAATAAAAATAATCCTATCTACCTATTCAATTACTTTAGCTAATTTATATTAAATTGTTAATGGTACGATAGTCGAAAGTCCCCCTTCATTCTCCATCCTTGCACAGAGGCTCACCGACAGCCAGGGCACCGGATAGTAAACCATTGCCGTGCGGATAGTAGACTATTGCCGTGCGGATAGTAAACCATTTGCCGTCCGGAAGCCGTGCGGGTAGTAGACTATGGCCATGCCACATAGTAAATCATTACCGTGCAGATAGTAAACCATTGCCGTCCGGATAGTAAACCATTGCCGGTTCACCACTGGCCACCAAGGCTTACCTCTGACAACAGACTTCGAAATTCAGAGTCTATCGGCTATCGTACCCTCAACTTACCTATTCATTGCAATTAAGCCCTAGCTTACTTAAAAGTACAAAACTCAAGAGCCCAATTCATTGGCCTCTCGGCACCCACCCCACCACCTACGTAATGCCTTGGGCTCCAACTTAGTAATAATAATATAAAACTTAAACCCTAAATCTATTAATGAGTTTATGTTACAACGTAGCCTTAACCTACCTATTCATTACATTACGGCCCTAGCTTACCTAAAATTACAAAACTCAAGAGCCCAATTCATTGGCCTTTCGGCACCCACCCCACCACCTACGTAATGCCTTGGGCTCCAACATAATAATAATATAAAACTTATAATTAATCTACCTATCGATACACTTACAGCGTTTTAATTTACATTACAAGATTGTTCCTAGAATTGCATTAAATTACTCTCAACCTTAGTAATAATAAATTAGAATGTGTAATGAAAATAAAATTACGCTCAAATACTAACATATGTGTATATGTACGTATTTGTGTGTGTGTGTAATACGCTGATGCGTGTAATGTGGGTGCAACAGAAAATAGAAGCGATAAACTTACGCGCCTACCTATTCAACTACATTACTGTTGGATGCTTCCTATATATCCTACCTACAATTAAAATTATGCCTATCTAACCTACCTATATAGCTAGTTAATGTAATTGTGTGTGTGTATGTGTGCGTGTATGCATTCTTACTTAATGTTAAATTACAGAGAAAAAAGAATAAAACGTATCCCAGCCAGGCGTGTGTTCTTTGCCACTGAATGAACGAACGTGGCCTGATATCTTCCATGATGAACTCCTACGGAAGCCACAACCTGAATGAAATGAATAAAATGAAAAAATCTTATTTATTTAATTAATTTAAATGAAAATAGAGAAACGAGCCGCGGTGAAACCCGCCAGCCGGAAAAGCCAGCCAACTGGCAAAAAAAGGAACTGCAAAAAAAACGTAAAACGAACCACAGCCAGGCGTGCATTCTTTGCCACTGAATGAACGAACGTAGCCTGACATCACAACCATTCTGATCTTCCACGATGAACTCCTCTGGAAGCTTCAACCTGAATGAATAAACCTGAAAGAACCTGAATGAACATAAATGAACCTAAATAAATGGAAAAATCTTATTTATTTAATTAATTTAAATGAAAATAGAGAAACGCAAAGAAGCCGACCTGTCGGCAAAGGAAAGAAACTCAAAAAAGGTATCTATATAGGATTTATGCTTTATATAACTCTATATAACTCTATATAACTCTATATAACTCTATATAACTCTATATAACTCTATATAACTCTATATAACTCTATATAACTCTATATAACTCTATATAACTCTATATAACTCTATATAACTCTATATAACTCTATATAACTCTATATAACTCTATATAACTCTATATAACTCTATATAACTCTATATAACTCTATATAACTCTATATAACTCTATATAACTCTATATAACTCTATATAACTCTATATAACTCTATATAACTCTATATAACTCTATATAACTCTATATAACTCTATATAACTCTATATAACTCTATATAACTCTATATAACTCTATATAACTCTATATAACTCTATATAACTCTATATAACTCTATATAACTCTATATAACTCTATATAACTCTATATAACTCTATATAACTCTATATAACTCTATATAACTCTATATAACTCTATATAACTCTATATAACTCTATGGAACTCTATATAACTCTATATAACCATTCCAATAAAAA